CTGGGAGTCACTTACTCATTACTCATCGTCTCAAATGAGGCAGTCCACACTCGCTGTGACAAAATCGCAAGGATATGCCAGGCCATTCAGGAAAGACGGCTGAGGTGGTTCGGACCGTTCTTCGTCGCCAACCTCAAGAGCTCAGTGCTACTGCCCTCGACTTGAAACTATTGCCTAATTGGAAACGTCGAAGAGGGGTTCAACTCAAAACCTGGCTCGACTCAGTCCGTCAGGACATAGAAGTGGTTCTTGGACCTTCGGTATTCGGTCTCCGGCGCTGGCGAAGAGAATGGGTCGAACTGTCCAGGTCTGCGGCCACGGATCGCCATGCGTGAAGAGGCACCATACGGGACATAATTGAGGCCGGCTAGATCGGTCATGATCGCAGCCGTAACAAGTACAAGTAAGTACAAAGTACTCCTGCATTTAATTAAATTATCCACAACACTCTGACCTCCCACGCCTTATTTTATTTACTAGTTCATAACCATTGGGATACGTTCTATCATCTATTATCCGGCCGGACCACTTCGTAGCCCACCATGACTAGAATTACGCAGGAAAAGTGCGGTAGTATCCGCACAAAGTCTGTTACTTAACATTAAGATAGGCGGTGTTCTGACCTGCACTGGCAAAAGCGGCCTACGAACAAGCCCGTTCGGTCAGCTCGACTTTTTCTTTTCACTGGTTCAAACGGGTAATGGTAAGGCGGACAGTTGTTCGTCCTGTCTCCAATCACCATCCCTGCTCTTAGGCACACAGTGGACATCATCGAAATCGACGGTCGAACTATCATCATCATGCGGTGCTGATAGTCAAAAAGGTGAGTAATTCGAGCCCTGGAAGGCGTTGAGAAGTAGCATTTGAGACAATACTAGAGTTTGGTAGCGTGGGGACCTATCGATGGAATGCAAGTAGTGCCGCAGGGTACTACTTCCCCTCTACATTGTATCAGAAGGACAATTTTCACTCAAACGTTCAGCTAAGTACCCAGCTAAGAGAAAATGTTTTCGAGAGAAAAAGGGAGAGAGAGAGAGAGCCTTTCATGTTACTTTCTCTAAAAAGTGCGATGCACATTTACAGCGTGCCAGAAGAAAAGCGCGGACAAGAAAAAAGCAGACAGCATTTCGGAACCTACGTTCTGCCGCTCGGGGTAACAGAGTCGAAACCACCTGGCCTTGAATTTCAGCGTTGGAGGCTAGTAAGCATTGGAAGCAGTAGAGGACAGCCATACGGACGGCGAGTTGTTGTCGTTCATTCACAATGGTGACCAAAAGGACCGTGATAGCAGGCTGCGGGGGCGTGGAGGGTGCAACGAGGCTGGCTAGAGCCTGCTGATTGGCCGGGCAGTAGCGCACAACATCGCCCATGGTATAGAGAGTTTGCATCAGCAGCTCTGCTGGCACTCCGTTGGCCATCACCACCTTCCAGAGACTGTCCAGCAGGCCGGAATTCTGCATGTCGGTTTGGCAGGCCTTGATATTTTGGGTCTTGTTGGTCGGAGCAACCAACGTGCGGAAAACCTGGAAATAGAAGTAGATGGATAAAAATAGATAATAGAAACTGAGGTAGCAGCTGTTTCTGGTTGGTTCTTGCCTCCCTTAGTCCGCTACAAGCCTGATTAACAGCTGAACGTGCACATCGTTTCGTAATCAAGGGACAGACATATACAGTCATTACATTATACTACTGGTAATAAGCAAGTAGCCATGTTTTGTACTATTTCGACTAGCCAACAACTGCTGTGTTTTCACCTGCAAGCACCTTATTGACGTACTCTTCAATTTTTCCTATCATCTTGTTACCAATAGGGAGTTCAGAGGCGTTCGCCTATATTTCTCTCAATAAACTGCTACTGAAAGAAGAGTCAGCAGAGCTAGTGAATTGACGCTCCGTCAATGGCTCCATATAACTAAATTTTTATCGAGGTCGACAAAGGTCATATTCACATATAACATATAACTATGTGGAAAAGTAGTTAGTTGTCTTTCCAGGCAAACAAGCTACAAAGGACGATAGGCGTCACGAACGAGTGAACATGTATGAGACTTAGAAACAACGTAACAGGCAACATTGTGTAGGTCGATAAAGATAAGGTCAAGTGCCGCAATAAACTTAGCGGACAGCACAAAGTATGATAGCCTGGGCTCGTAAGCGCCCGCACAATTTTAAGAAAGTAAAAATTAGCCCTTATTGGAAGTACAACTCCTGGTAAACCAAAAGCACGTGATTCAATGGAGTGATTACAACGGCCAAAAAGTTGCCGAACAACTGTCTTTCGGCGCTAACAAATGGAAGTGAATCAACTGTGAATGGGAGACAAGGAGAAATGCGAAGATGCGCTTGCAGATTACCTTCAGCAGACATCCAACATTGACTAGCTTCTGCGCTGACCATGTACACGACTCTGACAATTCATCTGGAACGCTTTGGAAAAGGTTCGCCAGCCGCTGAATAAACCTGCCGTCTTTGAAGAGCATCTGATTTTGTTTATTGCCCGTCAATAGTTGTACGATGAGGGCAAAACAGTCCTCAATAACCACGCCACCATCCGTGATCGTTTCTGTCTCAACAATGTTGAGAACCTTCTGGAAGACATTCTCGAAGGCAACAATCTTCTGGATTGTTGAATGGCTTTTGGTGAAGGTAAGTAGAAGAAGCAACCCCTAAAAGTAGTCAATATAAATTACCTAATTTAAAATTTGCCAGTTACTACAGTGAACAACGATAAATGCATAAAAGATTTTGGAATTGGAAGATGAGACAAAAGTTTCGCAACTTAAAAACTGGTGGATACCCAGTTAAACTATTCAAACAAATTCCGGATGCATACCTAAAAGGATCAAGGTAATTCCAAGAGGAGACTTGGAACTTTACTCAGCTCGGTATTGTGTACAGCTTTGTACAAGATAGTTTCCAGTGACGATTCAAAAAATTAAATTGACGCACGGTTCCTAGAAGAGTTACGTCTACGTGACTTGTTTAACTTTTGGACAGCGCATAAACAAAATGAAGGATGGTCATACCTAGTGACTTTTTAAGTTCTTCCAGACAAAAAAGTAGAAAATAGATTAAACTATCAGAAATGGTTTATCTGCCGTCACCAGTTTGTCATAAGTAAAACCAAGATGCTAAGTGTGAGTAGGAATTCGCCTGGTCGTTCAAATGTCCTACGATTTGCGTCGCAGGTTCGCGTCCTCTCCGATGTCATGGCGATGGGATTCACCGAGCTATTCTGATTCAAAGAATCGATACAGACGTTTAGTTTTGTTTTAGAGCAGAATTCATCGAAAATAATTAAATAAAGACGGGGCAGAGTTGAATGGCCAATAGTTGTACTTGTTCGCGTAAACAGCTTGTAGCCACCTCAATAACGAAGTACAGCAGTAAGTTAAAATCCACTTCGCAGGCTTATGGGATTTTTTCGAACCACTAAGATGAAGCGAGAAGTTAAAATTCACCTGTGTAAAGTTTATTTAGTTTCAGTCAAGCCTGAAGTCTGAGAGCTAGACGGGTCTCCTTTGGGCTAAACTGACCAGAGCTCCCAAAGATGAAAAGGACGGACTGAACAGTCAACTGCTACTATAACTGTATTTGAAAAATATATGCTTTTGACAACAATTTTTTCATGCAACTATTAACGTCTGCCTAGCGGGGATACTTTGGCCTTTGACAGGGGTCATAATTCGAGTAAGTTGGGGTCGATGACTCAAAATCTACTCTACATGATTGCAATAAAATCATGAAAATCAAAGAAGGGTAACAAAAGGAACGAAAAGTATTTTAAACGTACATCATTGCGAATAACTTCCATAGGGTCGCAGATTGTGTCTACAAACTTTGAGACTGCCATAGGCGAATTCAGTAAAATGTCCTGAAGAGATCGTAGATTATTCTCCAACAATAAAATCAGGAGTTGAATTGTCTGTCTGCGCAAATGCATATCATAGGACTAAAGATCAACAAAGTAAAAACGATCACACATACTGAAAGGAAGGACAAGACAAGTTGCACATTTTCCGGTTCCTTGATGAATATTTCTGTGAACTGTTTTCCCAGATCAGGTGGGATGTTTACGAGATCCTTAGGGTCTTGTAAGTAAAGCGGTCACAGAGAGCAGACAGTTACCAACGTCGTTAGCTGCATCGTTCATTATATTACAGAGTGTATCAAGCGCATAAGACACAGTATCCGGATCCTCACTTTTATCACAGGGTCACAAATAAAGATAAATTACCTATCCCTTGAGAGCGCCTCGATGCACGAAGGCATGGCTTGTGTTCCAACCTGCAGACGATAGCGCTTAATGGAAGATACAGTTAGATTGTGCAAACAGGTACCTTCGATAAGGCCTTGATGCCACGCATAGCATCCCGTCGGTCTTCGACCCGTGTCGACGTTTGAAGTCTGTCAACAAGAACCTCAACCTGTAAAATGAAACAAAAGGTGTGTAAGTGGTCAGGGCTTGGATCAATATAGCGTGATGATTTTGATCAGGGGCAACTTCAAATCCGAAACGAAGAAGAATGCTGTAACTGAGTGACCGTAAACGTTAACTGTACGAACAACCTAAAACTGTGCGCGAGCAGGAACAGGCAATATCTGAGAGTAGGGACTTTTCAGGGCAGTGCCGTAAAGGCACTGTGTATGTTGTTTGATAGCAGTTTACCAGTTATGTATACTTAAATCATTAAAATAAAACTTTGTGGACACTCTTTTTCTTACTTCCACGTCTTCACGGTTTGCTACGATGGCGTGTTCTATTGAAGCAAACAAGTTGAAAATAGCGCGTAGTTGCTTGAAATAAGATTGATAGAAACCATACTCCTCAATTAAATGTTTTGATGATAAGAGGTTCAAGCTGTCTAGCACAAAATATAGGTTTAATTATGATGCATTTGTGTTAACCCAAGAATACTTCTGTGAGAAATAAGATTGACGTATTATTGAGGTGTTTACTGTCAGTCGGTAGTAAACGAGGAATGAGTAGAATACGACCAATGGCGACCTGAAAGTTAATAGCTTTCAATGGAATATGTAATTAGGCCAAGTATCAACATCGTCCTGAGCCCGGGAAAGCACAAACTAGCCATTTAAGTAGGGCCTGAATATTATCGCCGAAAGTATTTCGAGGGCGTACTCGAACGGGATGCGCGAGGGGTACCATACAAAGCATGCATCCTGTCCTTTCATAAACTTGAGAGCCAGCAAACGGCCAGTGCTTGGAAACTTGCTCCCACCTCCCCCACACCCCTCCTCCAACCCCAGATTATAATAGCAAAACACAGTGCACAGGGTGATGGTAGGCCTGAGGAAAGTTGATAGTTGTAATTATCAAAAATAAATCGAAGCTAATTTTTTCTAGAGGTGTGACAGTTAGTAACAAATTGGCTTTACTCCTTTAAGCGCGTGTTTTACAAAATAGTTCACCAAGACTACCAGGTGGCTGTTTCTTAGTTAGAAAACGGTGGTTAAATGTTTTTGAGATTATATTTAGAAAGTCAGGCTTCTGAGGGAGTCGGTAATAAAAGAAAAATTGCTTTAAAAAGGGCACATTGAAACTGTTCTAAAAGAATATTAGGAATGGATTTTTCACGACGGCATCAATGTCTTCTTTGCAGTTTGTACAAACCACATGCATGCGGTTTGTTACCCTAAATAAACTACTACGATAAAAAAGACAAAGCTTATCTATTCACTTGCCCAGTTACTTCTATCAAATAAGAAAAATATTGTGAACGAGGCCAAAACTCCTCATTACTAGATTCATAGGCATACAAGTACGTTCAATCTAGATTGAATACATATACATAAGTGGAAGTTATTTTTTGCGAACAGTCTAGCATGCGTAGAAACGAGAAAAAATATTATAAGTCTATTCTTTAAAATAAATAGAAAGAAAATATGTTTTACCACATCAGCTCCGGCCTCTTCACCGACTTCGTCGGGCTGGCCAAGATAACGCCGAAACAGTTCCATCACAGCAAAAACCGTATGACGCGCTCTGACTTGTGGCACACACTGTCATGTAAAGGAACTTCACATATTTTCAAGACAATCATTTGCTCAAGTTAGCAAAATTATTGCACTTATTTACTGTGACGTATTATTTTACTTCATATGCAATCAGCAGCACATGTATGACAGATCAGAGCAAGTTATTAACGTGCACTCAACTGAAGTTGCTGGAATGAGCGTTCGAAAACAGTTCGGGGCGATGGTGTGGGGGCAACGGCAAGTTTATTCAATTATTTCGGTAATTCTAAAAGTATTCTGCTAACCTGCCTGCATCTGTTTTGAACCAGTTTCGAACGTCAGAGTCTGTACAGCGGATAATGGCTAAATGTGGTTACAGTTGGCTGCAGAAAAGCGGACACTGCCAGGAATGATGAAGGTTGCTAAATACGGATAAGACTCTGATTTTTGAGTGCTGCAGTAGCACAGACATTAAAATATCTACGTTTTTGGAGCTCATAGGGTACGAGGAGGACCGTTCATTTTAGATCTAGCATGTCTAGATTGTTAAGATAGCAGCGACAACGGCAGTCCTAGTAGCAAAAGTGCATCGCCTTGATTGCAGTGTAATCTCAGTTTACATAAGGGAACTAAGCAGAGCCTTTGAAACTCCTATTTACAGATACATTCTGGCAAATCATGTATGTGTCTCAAAGCCAGATATGTACATTTTATAAATCGTTCTTGTCTACCAAATATATGACCATCATGTAAATTGGGAGCGAGTCTTCTTTTAAATGCTTCAACGCTTTCAGCAATAACAACTGAGGAAGGAAGTTTGTTCCAGTCTTCAAAGACCAGGTAGGAGAAGAAGTTGGCCCCCATCTATAGTTTGGTACGGTATTTGTTCAGTTTGTAAGGGTGACCTCGGAGATGTGCCGTTTGTGGGAATTCAAAAAATTAGTCATAATAAGAGCACAGTCTACTCCTCTGACAAGTTTGAAGACCACGATCATATCTCCTCTGTATTTTCTATAATAGAGAGAAAAAAGCTTGAGCCTTTTTAGTAGAACTTCATATGATAAACTCCTTAAGCCTCTTGTAAGCGCCTTCTCCGAGCTTTCAATTGAGTTCCATTTCTTCAGATCGTCTGATAACATGACTTTCTCACAGATGATCACTGATTGTCTTCTATTATCCTGTCGCTCCGGCAAAAAGGCGATTCTTGGATGCATATATAATGCTCCTAACTCATCCCCTGCAGATGATGCAAATCCTTGTGAAATATCTAAATTGATTTCAGAGTACACTTTCGAAGTTAAAATTTTCACTGGACACTTTGATTTTCCCGAAATTGACTGGCCTTAAAACACTTGTTTACCTAGATTTCAGCCCTTCCTAGATCCCATTAATTTTTCTAACTGCTCTGTTAAGACCCGCTCCTGGTTCTTCTAATTAATACGAACGCCGAACCAAAGAGCCGTACGAGAGAGACAGAGAAAAGACCAGTCAGTCAGAGAGAGTGTGTTTACTCAGACAGCACAAGTCTTTGAGGGTAAAAGGTACAACATATTTAGGTCAACAAAAGAGTGTAAGCTAGGTCTATCGGGCTTATCAGCTTCTGTTGTGGCTTGGCTACCAGAACGATTGGTTGTGACTCAGCGGCTGAATGCAGTTTAAATTTTGGGTTATTGATTGCTTGATTGCCTGTATGTGTTCGCCTCGTGTGGGCCGATTGATATCCCGCTGCGAGTGTTGCTGCTTGCTGCATGCACCCAACATGGTCTTAACTGGTCCGCTTCCCATCAAGGCACAATCATATTCTAGATCTGACTTTAAAAAACGGCATTTCTCCCCTCTTCCAAAGTGATCATAGATTAATTCAGAGTTGCATTCCGCTTCTTTCTGCGAAAATGGTTAGTGCCGTTAGCATCTATCATGCTTATGACATCGCAGATATTAACCTAATCAACAAATTTCTTGGCTCATTGGATTGACAGACTCTCTCCATGAACGACACTGCATGTCTTTCTGAGGTCATGTTGGTCGTTTCTAATAAAATACTGGGATTTGTGCCCACTAAAATTGCAGGAGCCTACGCATCGGAATCAAACGTCTCTCAATTTATTTTGTCACAGCTAAAGAAATTGAGGAGGCAGTTGAAAGATCGATCAACTAGTTTGTTTTCTGCGCATTTACGGATCGCAGGGATTTTCGAGTTGGCGTCTAAAGTTCGTCAAATACGCGACATACAGAGGGAACCATGCGTATTCAGTGAGCTAAACTCTGCAAAATCTGTTGCCCAACTGTTAGGTCATCGGTCTTCCTCTAGACGAGGTCGTTGTTAGGATGGTAGCCTGACCAAAGGCTAGCAACCTTGTCGGCTCTCCTAAGGCATCGATCCTGCTACTGACCGCCACAATGATTCCTTTGTTCAATAACGTTCGCTGGGCTGGCCCCAAGCAATGACCTGAGACGAAACGCGGACGCGCACCCCAATGCAGTGTTAGAATTATTCCTACCGTGCGGCTCGGATGAACTCTCAGGTCACGCTATCGGTCCACCCCCACACAGAGGTGCACGCAGTCGTGCG